GGCATTTGTCAAATATATGTATGGAATAATTGTAAAGGATCCTAGTGCCCCATATCATGAGAATATACGATTCAACTTGCTCACGTCTCGGGTCTCAACTTGTAAGTTCTCCAAGCCCGTTGAAGAACCATTACAGTATTAATTATGTGAACTACAATCTTTTTCTTGATTTCATTTTCATTTGAATATTGATAACCATAATCATAATAACTCAAACCTTTACTATATATAAAATAATATTTTCTGTAAATCTCCTCAATCTCATCAGAGCTAAGTATTGATATTTTTTCCTCTTTTTTCACATTCTTTCGTACAGGATTAGAATGCATATTAGTGGTTTCAGTAATACAGTTCTTTAGATGATCATTTGCACATTCGATTGTATTTTCGCAAATAAAAACTAAGGAGTCGCATACAGTGCAATAAATGTGGAATGAGCGTCTCCTAGCATTAAATTTCCTATCTATATATACTCTTTCGATCATTTGGATAAATCTATTCTTAGAGAAGTATTTTGAGTTATATTCGAGAAGTTTTTTAAATAGACAATGAATACGAGAACATCACATTTCTGGTATTTCATCGCTATAACTATATTGCAGATTGTTTAATGTCTGCACTACTCCAGGATTTAAACTAGAATAGAAGTTAGTTTTAACCATTTTTTACTCTTTATAGTTTATAGCTGACTCTAGTGATTTATAGCATTTTTAGCAATTTATAGTGTTTTTAGCGATTTTTTATCAATCTATATCAAGGAATATCATGATTCAAATTTGTACATAGCTGAAAACGAAAAAAATATAAGTAATTGTTAATATACACTTCATAGATTTTTATTTTTTTTTGTATATATTGCAAGTAAATACTAATGTATAAATTATATTTTCCAATTGTGATCTCAAGAATAGCATTAGGAAAACGGTGGACAATATCAAAAATACGACTACACAAAAACACTTTTTTCTAGTTGCCGAGATAGGATACTATGTCACCAGGGCGCAGTAATTGTCGAAATAATATTCCACAAACGTTTTTTAATGGATTTGCTACTCCCAGATATTCATATAATTCAGAGTAATCGAACACGCCTATGACTCTATCTTGTTTTATATTTTTAACAGTAATAAAGTCAGTTGCCTGATCATATATGTGCTCATATTTATCTGGATTGCATAGTGGCATGTACTGTGTGGGGCAAGTAGTAAACTTACCCATTGCCTTGCACTGATTATTTTTCGATTTCTTAGCCATTACCACTTAGCTTTGTCTGATTTAATTAATCTCTTTTTTTCTCTAGCTATTCTTCTTTAATATTTATATTAACAGAGAATATCATTATTCAAATTTATATAGGTCTATCATTGAAATTATGAATTAGCTAAATCACTTTTTTTCTTGTGCTTCTGCTTTATCTCTATTTCTTTCAGTAGGTTTAATGGAGTGTCAAACCTTAGCCGAATTGCAAGAGGATCATCCTCGGGTCTATCTAGATCAAATACAATAAATTCACCTTTTCAGAGATAACTATTTATAACTATCGATGCATTCTTAACATCAGTATATCAACCGGCTATCTTGGACACATCTTGAAAACTGCTTCCAGCATTAAATATCACTAGATGGAATATATTTTCACGAATAATAATAGGGACTTTATGATACTTCTGTGTAATATATATACTTGAAATATTTCTATAATACCCATAAGTAAAGAAAGGGATGATTTGATTTTGTATATGCTCCAGGGCAACACATAAGTCTTCGAAAATGATGATAGTGCTTCTTTCTGGTGAAAATGATTTTACATTTGGTATCCTTTCGGGAGAGAGATAGTTGAATCGTATATTCTCATGATATGGGGCACTAGGATCCTTTACAATTATTCCATACATATATTTGACAAATGCC